TTGAATAGCTCCAACATACCTTGCGGGAACAATAAAAACCTAGCCATATTAACTCGGTGCGAGCTTCTACGGTTGAGCGCATTCTCTACTCTGACTTAGAATTTTTACAATGTGCACTCCGAATAAAAATAAAAAATACTATGCATCACAGTAATGAAGCAATTGAGCATGCAAAAATCTAATTAAAAGAGCTTTTAAAGAAAATTAATTTAAGGTAACTTCCTCATAAAACTTTTGTACAATTACAAAAATAGACTCTTGTCAAAGTCAACCGTGGAGTACTTGACATAACTTTTTTTTTTTTAAAAAAGGAAAAATAAAATAAAATTTCGTTGCATATAAATTATTAGTTTTCTATTTAATTAAGTAAGCTTGTTTTTGGTTATAAGGTAAATTACAAGGTAATTAATATTACTCGTAAAAAAGAATTTTATCTTTCATAATTTAATATTGTGCATCCAACGTTATTCATAATTTTCTAATTAATTAAACATGGTGAAAACAAAACAATTAAGATCACGAGGAACATTTAGAACAATCATAAGAGAGTGGCATTAAACCATATATAAATAAAATCATCCCCCGACCGTTATGTTAAAAGAAAGAGTAGAAAATTCATTGGACTTTGCAGGCCAGCTCTTCTCATTCCTTAATTCCTAAGATATGTTAATGCATGCGAATGTTCCAAAAATCTTGTGGGCCAAAATGATTACTCATCAGTCATCACTTCCTATATATTTTATTTACAATTTTTTTTTTTTGGGACAAAATAAATTGTCAAGCCAATAATACAAGTAAAGACAAAATACTAGTCTGTGTACGTCGATACTAGTTTTGAGGGTCGAGCAATGTACGTATACATGAGGCTTGGTCCTGTTGTCGGAAATTCGACTATCCCAATCGAAAGAACAAATAAAAAAGTAGGAAAAACGAAAAAAGAAGAAGATGAAGCGAGGTATGCCAAAGCAAATCTCCTTAAGACAGATTTCGCCCCCCAACAACGTGCAAACAGGATTATGGACGTCTGTCTCCCAAGATACAACGCTTTTCCCAAAGTCGATATTGCACAATACCTACCTTGACGGTCGAAAAATGTGAAGTTGAAATGAAGTTTGACCATTTATAAATAATTTATAAATTTCCAAGCGGAGTGTAATGACAAACAAAAAAATGCATTAGGAATATATGTTCTCTTATTCTTAAAAGAAGCTTTAACCTTAAAGATCCATTTTTATGCAATTGAAAGAAAACCAGTGATGAATAAATAAATAACTTTGACATCTGAGCATTTGACCTAAATATAGTTGTGTTTAGTAACCATGAAATAGGATGGAACTGCAAGCCTTCTTTTCTCTCTGCAATTTTTTATTAAAATACACAAGATTGTAAAAGGAACTAAAACTACCAGACATGGACAATGTCAGAATGAAATAGTGAAATGGAAATGGCCTTTACAATTGTAAGCCAACTTGGACTTGGTTGAACCTGGAACTATGATTATTTAGTTTACCAAAATTATGATGTAGTCAGGGAAGGATGGAGGGGGGTTGGACCGGGCTACACTCCAAAATTTTTTTTTTTTTTTGGGACAAAATAAATTGTCAAGCCAATAATACAAGTAAAGACAAAATACTAGTCTGTGTACGTCGATACTAGATTTGAGGGTCAAGCAATGTACGTATACATGAGGCTTGGTTCTACCTTCGAGGATCCCAAGTCTTTGTTCTACCTTTAGAAGGAAAGCGAATATAAATTTACATAAAAATACTTCGACAATAATTTCAATCGATAATCTAAATCCAACATGTCGATGATTATGCCTAGAATGCGGTTATGTAAGTTGAAAGTATTAAACTTGTGTACAATTATGACCAAACTAACATGAATTTGAGTTAATATTTCTCTAATTTTATATGAAATGTGCAGTGGAAAAGCTTAAAATGTATTGTAGGCTAACCTAAACCAACTCCATAATGACAGAAATAAAGCAGTGTCAACTATTATAGTTTTATGTATAATTCGTTCGCAACTTGTCTATTCCTTAAAGGCAACGGACCAAACAACTTGGCCCAACGTGAAACAGAAAACTCCTCCCAAGGAGGGGGGTTCATGTCTTGTTTTGGAGCCGACAAGTAATAAAAGCTTCCATTTCTTGTTTGCCAAGTGTTGCCATTAAATCTCGAAAAGTGAACGATATCATCAACAAGTAATAAAGTGATGAAAAAAATATTGTTCACGAGGATTGAGAATTTAAAATAGATTCAGTTAAATCTAACTTTAGTCGAGTCATACATAATTCGAAGGCTTGGATGATTTTATTATCTATTCTATGTTACCGATTCTATGAAAGCAAGCAAAAAACCTAAATTTTAGAGAAAAATTCAAAGTTAAAATACATAAGGACCCCGACCACACCAAGTAATCTATTATAATTCTCCTATTTCGTTATTAATCCAATTCATTATGATGTTGATGATTATGACTTTATAATATCTAACAATCTCTCTCTCTCTCTTGATTAAGGTTATACCTATCTTTATATACTATCTTTAAATATATTTGTAACAATTTTATCCCACAAGGATACATATCGTAAACAAGTAATAAGTGATGTATAGAGTATCTTTCACAAAGATTGATCGTCGTTTGCACTTTAATTTGAAGTAATCCTAACGTTACCACACGAGTTGAGCTACACGTACAGCCTGTGAAATTCACATGCCACTCACATGCACAGTGGGGGTGGGCTTTTTTCTATTTTTTTATTCATGGGTGGGGCCCACCCCCATGTGAGAAGCCTGGTAATAGCCTGTGAAATTTTCCCTATATGTGGGGATGAACTCGTTACCACATAGATTCAAGAAAATAGCTTCGAGTTTAAGTTTTTCTAATTAAAAACTAAAATATGCAATCTAAAACGTACGAGTCTTAGGATAGAATCAAGTAAAGCACTAGCATCCCGAATCCATTGCTATAAACATATTATCCGTCCATGATTAATTCTTGTGTAGGTTGAAAATCAATGATCCATTTTTAATCAACAGTCATCCCAAGATGAAAATAATTCTATCCTTATACGTAAGCATAATAATCTCAAATCATATTGCAAACATATAAACATGCATTAAAACACAAAGATCGTTATTCACGATATCATGGAGCATAATAGTATATCTGTATCTATTATAAGATTCTATATTTTTTATTGTCATGTGCTAAATTTATACCGTACCTCTCAAAAGTAATATAAATCACAAACACGTGTTAATGGTGATAAGCATTAAAACAGATTAATTGAATAATAAATAATCAACCAATAAACAAGAATTAAAACAAAAATGAGCAACTTCGAATTAAAGTAGTTTACCATGTTTCGTCATAAATCCTAGCAACAAGAAGTCTACCTGGACATGATTGAAATTCAAAAACACAAAAGTTCAATGGAATACATAACCCGAATTATGAGATGGTAAGGAGGAATACAACTATTTATTCTTGAATCTCTTCAATGACCTTGAATTGCAACATCTCCGTCTTCAATTCATCCTAGATATGAAGAGAATTTTGCATTGTATTGCTCTAAGATTATCTACAGTGACGTAAAATACAAATTTTGGGCTTCCCTTATACACAAGACTATAAAAAGCCCTAAAATTGTGTCCAAAATAATCCAATTCATCAAAAATTAAGGTGCCGTTCTCTTTGTGTTTCAGTTTTTTGTTTTGAGTCTTGAATTCGTTTTGTATTTTGTGTTTTGAGTGTCTGTTTTGAAATTGCTGAAAATGCATTATATTTGTTGTTTTGGAAAACTATTTCTGAAAACATGAAACTAGAAAACACGTTTACTTTGAAGGAAAAAGCTAAACGTACTCCATACCTTACTACATAGTTTACTACATGCTGACGTGGCAGGATTTGAAAATTCAACTTTGCAAAAAAAAAATTAGAAGAAAAGAAAAACAAAGTAAAAGGCGCCATTTTCTTACCAACTCCCTCATTCCCACTCGTTGGCTCTCCCCAAAGTGAAAAATCTCAGCTCCCAACGAAGATGGAGCAACAAGAAAACTCAATCGACGTCGCCGTCGACTTGGGAGATGGCGACCCAACGTCGGCGGTCGCCGTCGAACCCATTAATTCCCCCCCCCCCCCCCCCCC